CCCTATTTTAGCCTCTTCCGATCCTACCTCATTTTCACTGACATTCACTATGTTAGATGTCCAATCGCTACCAACCTTCTTGGTGAAAACCGAAACAAAGAAGTCATTAAGCACCTCTGTCATTTCCACATTTTCTGTTTTTATTTCTCCCCCTCATTGAGTAACCGGCCTACCCAGTTCTTGGTCTTCCTCTTGCTTCTAATGTATTTGTAGAATGCTTTCTTGTTACCCTTTATGTCTCTGGCTAGTTTGATCTCGTTTTGTGCCTTGGCCTTTCTAATTTTGTTCCTACATACTTGTGTTATTTGTTTATATTCATCCTTTGTAATTTGACCTAGTTTCCACTTTTTGTAGGACTCTTTTTTGATTTTTAGATCATTGACGATCTCCTGGTTAAGCCAGGGTGGTCTCTTGCCATACTTCCTATCTTTCCTACGCAGTGGGATAGTTTGCTCTTGTGCCCTTAATAATGTCTCTTTGAAAAACTGCCAACTGTCTTCTATTGTTTTTCTGTTTAGACTTGTTTCCCATGGGATCTTACCTACCAATTCCCTGAGTTTTCTAAAGTCTGCCTTCTTGATATCCATTGTTTTTATTTTGCTGTTCTCCCTCCTACCATTCCTTAGAATCATGGTGTCAAGTATCAGAGGGGTAGCCGCGTTAGTCTGGATCTGTAAAAAGCGACAAAGAGTCCTGTTTCAGAGCGCAGCCGTGTTAGTCTGTATCTGCAGAAAGAACAGGAGTATTTGTGGCACCTTAGAGACTAACAAATTTATTTGAGCATAAGCTTTCGTGGGCTACAGCCCACTTCTTCGGATGCATAGAATGGAACATATATTGAGGAGATATATATACACATACAGAGAGCATGAAAAGGTGGGAGTTGTCTTACCAACTCTGAGAAGCCAATTAAGTAGGAGAAAAAACTTTTGAAGTGATTATCAAGCTAGCCCAGTACAGACAGTTTGATAAGAAGTGTGAGAATACTTACATGGGGAGATAGATTCAATGTTTGTAATGGCTCAGCCATTCCCAGTCTCTATTCAAGCCTAAGTTGATTGTATCTAGTTTGTATATCAATTCCAACTCAGCAGTCTCTCGTTGGAGTTTGTTTTTGAAGCTTTTCTGTTGCAAAATTGCCACCCTCAGGTCTGTTACTGAGTGACCAGACAGGTTAAAGTGTTCTCCTACTGGTTTTTGAATGTTATGATTCCTGATGTCAGATTTGTGTCCATTTATTCTTTTGCATAGAGACTGTCCGGTTTGGCCAATGTACATGGCAGAGGGGCATTGCTGGCCAAAGAGTCCTGTGGCACCCTATAGACTAACAGACGTATTGGAGCATAAGCTTTCGTGTGTGAATACTCACTTCATCATGAACTCTATCATTCCAAAACAACAACAACAACGAGGAGTCCTTGTGGCACCTTAGAGATTAACAAATTTATTTGGGCATAAGCTTTTGTGGGCTACAGCCCACTTCATCAGATGAATAAATTTGTTAGTTGCTAAGGTGCCACAAGGACTCCTCGTTGTGTTTGATGATACAGACTAACTCAGCTACCGCTCTGAAATCTATCATTTCATGATCACTTTCACCCAAGCTGCCTTCCACTTTCAAATTTTCAACCAGTTCCTCCCTATTTGTCAAAATCAAATGTATAACAGCCTCTCCCCTGGTAGCTGTCTCCACCTTCTGAAATAAAAAATTGTCTCCAATACATTCCAAGAATTTATTGGATAATCTGTGCCCTGCTGTGTTATTTTCCCAACAGATGTCTGGGTAGTTGAAGTCCCCCATCACCACCAAGTCCTGTGCTTTGGATAAATAAATAAATTAAATTAAATAAATATTTTTTTGTTAGCTGTTTAAAAAAACCCTCATCCACCATTTCTTCCTGGTTAGGTGGTCTGTAGTAGACCCCTACCATGACATCACCCTTTTTACCCCTTTCATCCTTACCAAGAGACTTTCGGCAAGTCTGTCTCCTATTTTCATCTCAACCTCAGTCCAAGTGTGTAAATTTTTAATATATAAGGCAACACCTCCTCCCTTTTTTCCCTGCCTGTCCTTCCTGAGCAAGCTGTATCCTTCTATACCAATATTCCAGTCATGCATATTATCCCACCAGGTCTCTGTGATGCCAACTATGTCATAGTTGTCTTTATTTACTAGCATTTTGAGTTCTTTCTGCTTATTCCCCATACTTCTTGCATTAGTACACAGCCATCTAAGATACTGATTTGATCCCCTCCCCCCAGTTCTGTCTTGGCTCTCCTTTATCCTTGCTAGAACAGCTCATGCTCCCCCCAAATTCCAAACCTTCTCCCAGGCCTCCATGTTTTTGACTTACCTGAGGGCTTTGGTCACCTGCCCCTCTTCGAACCTAGTTTAAAGCCCTCCTCACTAGGTTAGCTAGTTTGTATCCAAATATGCTCTTCCCCTTACTCGATAGGTGGACCCCATCTCTGCTTATCAGTCCGTCTTCCTGGAACAGCATCCCATCAAGGAAGCTGAAGCCTTCCTGGTGACACCATTCTTGCAGCCAGGATTTGCCTCCAGGATGCATCTGTCTCTGCCAAGGCCCCTACCCTTGACTGGAAGGATCGATGCCCATCAACAACCCGGATGGACTCCCAGCAAGAGATGCACCTCTTGAAGCCTGGAGGGCCTGGCATACCCCGGGGCAATGGTTATTGTGAAGGGGGAAGGTTCCACCCTCCTTAAAGGGAAAAGGGATCAAGAGAAATCCCCTCTAAACCACTTAAAATAAATAAATAAATAAATAATATAATAAAGAAAGATAACTAGACTATGTTGTAGCCTTCAAATGGTAAGGAACACTAACGCTCCATCTCAGGCTGAGGCAGTTGAGAAGGACCTGAGAATGGTTCATTCATCCAAGCTGCCTTACACAGCCTAGGAGCAGGGCACGAGAAAGCGTCGGGCGCATGCGTGGGCCAAACGGGCAGTACTGCCAAACATCTCTGAGGTAAGGCGCCAAGGGCGTGAGCACACCAGAAGAAGAGCACCCACAGGACACTACTTGAAGAACACATTGTTCCAGGACATTCCTGATCTTTATGTACTTTGCATGGGCAACAGGTGAGGAGCAAACATGGCTCGGTGCCTAGGTACTATGAGGATAGGGACAGAAATGCCTGGATAGATAGGATGCTAAACAACTGCAACAGAGCTGCTTACTACTCTCTGTTGAAGTTTAGTAAAATTGGTCACCTTCTTTACAGATAATTGTATGCTTTGTAGTTTAATTTGGGTATGTCAGCGCATATGGAGTCGGGCAGATTTCAGACTGGTACTCTATGGAATCTGTAATTAAATTATGGTAGGATCCGTTTAACTCCACTCACTGGCCTACTGGTAAGGGTGGTAATCATACCCTTCTTCCAAGCTCTCGTACAAAGTTTTTAAAGGGCTTCAGCAGGAGTGATGGATCCCATCTGAGGTAAGGCTGCACGTACCTAAATCTATATATGCTATAGCAGTAGTTCTCAACCTTTTGTACTGGTGACCCCTTTCACATAGCAAACCTCTGAGTGCGACCCCCTTATAAATTAAAAACACTTTTTGATATATTTAACATCATTATAAATGCTGAAGGCAAAGCGGGGTTTAGGGTGGAGGCTGACAGCTTGTGGCCCCCCATGTAATAACCTCAAGACCCCCTGAGGGGTCCCAACCCCCAGTTTGAGAACCGCTGCTCTATAGTATGTTTGCTGCCCTTTAAAATCCCTCCTCTTTTGTGGGGTAAATACTATTGATAGGGTCCTACCAAATTCACGGTTCATTTGGGTCAATTTCACAGTCATAAGGTTTAAAAAATCATAAATTTCATGATTTCAACTATTTCAATATGAAATTTCACAGTGTTGTAACTGTAGGGGTCCTGACCCAAAAAGGAATTGTGTGTGTGTGTGTGGTGGGGGGGGGGGGGGGCCGAGGTATGGGGGGGGGGGGGGGGGGCCGAGGTATGGGGGGGGGGGGGGGGTGTTTTCTCCCCTTCTTTTTTGGACGGGTGGG